TTAAAATTTACAGAAAAACAAATTTATATATAACTTGATTGGTTTATTTCACAAAAATAGTAATTAAAATTACAATGTTAAAATTAAGCAAACTTTTGAATGATTCTTTAATCATGTATCAAATGCTTTCACGGTTATCTCAGGAATAGGAAGCTTTTCCATTGTTGTCAAAACGACTTCTTTGAACACTATATCTTGTTTCAATATGAGCTGTAAAAAATTAAATTTAACTGTTAGTTTTAAACTAGTTGATCTTTACGATAAAGTTATTGTTTTTTCTTCTTTTTTTTTCACATATGAAATACTTGCAAAGTGTACTCCTTTTGAACAAAAAATAGTTGGTCCCCTTAAAAAAATTAAAAATGGAGTTTTTAATTTTTTTAAGGGAACTTTTTAAACAAATCTCTAAAAACCCAATTTGGGTCCCCTAATATTTTGAGTCCAGGCCTAGGCTCTGACGGCAACAGTTATAAATAGCAACAACTTTTGGCAAATTTTATTTAAATTTTTTTACATGTATGTTTAAATTTTGTCACTATTTTATATTTTTATTGAATAAATTCCTATATGTTTTTATATAAAATATTTATGGAGATTCTCTTTTACGATCAGCAATCAAGCTGATTAAACTGCTTCAGCTTCAGCTTTAATCTGAAGCTAATGAGTTTAAAGCTGAAGCTGAAATACCAGCTGCAACCCCTACTTTATAGACAACATAGTTAATGTGATGTATATACATTATAATAATACATGTGTTTTTTTATACTTAAATACTTATTTTTTTATTTTTTGATACATTTTTTTTTAAATACATGTTTTTTTATAACATTTAATACCTAGAAAATATTGACTTTTGCCAAATATTCTTTAAATAAAAATAATATTTTCTTACATTACTCTAATCGAGGTAATAAACAAGAGTAATATTTACTCCAATCACTATATTTGTCCCCCAAAGTTCATGCAATTTTATTATACAAAAGTCTCTCACTAATTCTAATAATAAAAAATTATTACCATTATTACTATAATTATATTTACTAACCTGTTATCACTAATATTTATCAAAAATACATTCTGGTTGTTGAAGTCACTTTTACTCATATCAGTATGTAAATATTGTCAACAGTCAGAGTGCACCATGCAGAAATATTCTTTAACATGCTGCAAAATACAAGATATACATAAGATACATATCATATAAGACCTATTACCTAGAACTTAACATTTTATAGTGTTTAACTTACTATAACTCAATTATAATAAATAAGAATATGGTTATAATCTATATAATACCTATTATCTTTTTTTATTTATTTTTATTTATGTTAAAGTTATCAAGTTAAATTAAAGTTTTATAACTAAAGTTTGAATGCAAAAGTTCATATCAATAAAAATTTTATCAGTATTATAAACATAAGTATTATATTACAAGTATTTACAAGTATAGGTATTGTAAGTATAAGTTATTATTATGTATATTATGAAATTATTGTTAATATTACAAGTGTACATTTTTAAATCAAAGTCAAAAAATATCAATGATTAAAAAATGAGGTTGATGCATAACAATAAACCCATTTTTTTGCATTTAAACACCTAATTATATCTTTATTTATATCTGACGATGGGTAAACTTTGTTAACATCAGTCATTTTGCATGCATAAAATATAGAAAAATCAATGGAAAAGAGTGGATCTGTAAAAACAATTTAAAAGCTTTTAATTCCCTAAATATAAACTATCCATCACATTTCATTCGCCTCTTTTGTCTTTTTAAATGTTTCTGACTAAACCAATATTTTGATTTAACTCAAACCAGTTATTACAATCACTAGCAGAAACAAAATTTATATTTTGATCATTTTAAAAATGCAAACAGTGTCTCAATGGAATATTTACTACATGTTTAATAGTTTCTGGAACGTATGTTCAACAAATATGTTAAACTTTGTAAATTTAAAAATATATATAAAAGAATTCTTTTATAATAGTGTTAAATAAATGAAATTTTAAAACAACGTCTTTTTAATGGAGTTTCACAGTGAAAAAATACATAAAAAAAAAAAAAATTCTCTTTAATTACTATGTAAATATAATGTATACAAAAAATATAATGCTTACATGTTAAATTTTTAAATTTATTTCACGCACAATACAAATTATAAATGGCAACCATCGAGTAAGTTTAATTATGATTTTTTTAATTATTAGTTTAAACCTTTTGGGAACCTTATGGGAAACCCGTCAAATCCCCAGGTTCTTTGGCCCTAATAAAAACCAGATAAAACCCAAACGAGTAAATATGTTTGATTTTATTATCATATGGGACCCGTCTGGAAACCGAAATACTTACCCGTCAAAATCCCGTTCCCATAAGCCCAGACAAAAACCATATGGTACCCGTCTGTCAATGTTGGCTGGGTATGCAGTAACATAACATCTATTTGAGACATATTTTAATTGCATCCCATATTTAGATTTTCTAACAATACATTATATTTTATTTAGTTAAAGTTTATAAATTTATAAGTATAAAAAAGAATCTTTTTTAAATAAAACTCACAAGCAATCTAATCTAGTTATATTATCACCTACTAATTTTTTTCAAAAACTGTAAGGCTAAGAAAAAATACAATAGACTATAATATAGCTCGACTAGAATTTGATTTGAGCTTGATTTAAAAAATTTTTGACTTTTGGTTTTGGATTTGAATGGGTTTGATTTAAAAAGAAACATTTTCTTATTACAAAATTTTACAAATGTCATTAATCGAGAATATATGTGTTGCATGATTTATAAATGTTCAACATTTGTTGTTGATTGCTGTTTTTACTAACCCTAGATTTATAATCTGTTATATGTTACATCTCGGTTATATAAAAATAATGGATGTTTTGCACATAACGTTATGATACAATGTTATGTATCATTACGCTCCTGTTATGTAAAATACTGAACATTTTGCATGTAATGTAACAAATATTGTTTACATTACAATTTGTAACATAACTTAAAAATTTTATAGGGAAATATAGTCCTAGATGCAGAACATGTATGGGGTGGAGATTTGTGTATACAATTTTGTGCATAAAATTTCAGATTTTAGTTGTAAATATCAGTTAAAATGCTAGTTTATATTAACCAGCAGTATACCCTATATCTCAAAGCCATCTTTATATGTTACATTTTTACACTGAATATAAATTTAATAATTACTTATAGCAATATTGTTTTAACAATTCTATCAATGTAGTAAATTTGAAGTAAAATTGGAGCAAATTCAATTAAATAAAAGTTATCCATCTGTTTATATTTTTATATTAATATTTTTATCAATTTAAATTTAAGTAAAATTCATTAAACAAGTTTAAAATGTATGATAATTATCAATAATATTTGTAACAGTTGGATTATTATTATTTTTAAACATAATTTAAATTTGTTTAGTTTAGTTTTGATAAAGACAAAAAAGAGTTGTCATGTCTTTATCAGACCCAGACCCTTTAGAGCTTGCCCCACTTTGTCATTAATATTCCCAATAGAATAGGAAGTTTTAATAATAAATAGATCATTTGATGGAGCTTTACACCAAGATAGCACATTTATTACTATTTATCATGAAAGATAGCAATAAAAATGTTTGCTTCTTTTATTTTAGGCTTTTCTTAATTAGTCATAATTTTATAGTCATGTAAAGAGTTAGAATATATATTGCATCTGCAAGAAATCTCACCTTGTAACATGCCTCCGGTTGATGGAATCTAAAGTCTGAAATATTTGCGCCTAGAAATAATGCAGTAAATTTACAAATTGTTTTAAAGTCAATTCTTGAAAATATCTTATCTTAGTTGGCTCTGAAGCTAAAGTATTAAAATTTATTAATAGAATATTATTAAAATTTATTTATAGGTTCTTTAGCAATATCATAGTTAATAGATTTTAGATAATTTAGCAATAATTATAGATAATAAAACCAATTTTGAGTTGTTCAATTAAATTGTTGGTATTTTCTCCTTTATTAATCTTCTTACAGATATTAGCCTATTTTTTCTTGAATTTGACATAGATCTGTTTTCTTGGCTCTTTATTTTTCTTGTCCATTATTGTTACCATCAAGTAAAAAACATGCCTCCCATACATTTGTCTTTAACACATAATCTACTAGATGATAACCTTAAAAATATTTGAAAACATGTGTACAGCACCATTTTGATTAAAATTAAAATTAAAATCTTATAAAAATTTGTATAAATTATTGTTTTATAAACAAAAATACCTCTGCCCAATATTGACTGGTTGAACTTGTGAATTTTGCTAAGTTCTTTCAATCTTTCCTCTACTTTCTTAAGGTTGTCTTAAGCATTTCTTTCTATCTATTGACCTCTTCACTCTACTGAAACAATGTTCATCTGAGCAAACTAGGTCATTGCCATTATGTTTTAGTTCGCACCAAATGTCGAAAGAAAATTTATATTTGTTGCTGCTCATACTAATGATAAACTAAAAGTACTATGATATGTCACCATTTGCAGGAAGTTGTCTGTTAGGTAACTCAATCATTGGATATTTTAACAGATAAAGAAACGTATGCACTTTTTTTTTCTTGCTTCAATATCTTATTGTTTATCATCATCTTTCTATTTGTTCTTCCCATTTTTCAGAAACAAGGTAAAATATATTTTTTTAGTTATTATAGTTTCTAGATGATAATTTGAAATAAAGTAATTATACCTAATACTTTGGTACAGGTGGTAAAAAGATAAAAATAGAAAACAAATTTTAATGTAAAGATAAATTTTAAAATATTTTTTATACTATTGGTTATATGCATACTAAAGGGTTAAGAGTACAGTGAAAAGAACGTTTCTTGACTTAAGCCAGTGAAAAAATTTTAATTTTGTTTATCTGAGTTTATATTATAATGTATAATATTTGAAAAAACTAAAAAACGTAGTTTATTAGTGTTGCAACAATTTTGTCTGTTTTTTATTTTTAGTAACATCAACAATATCTCTGACATCGACTGGTATTATTCTTACTTCATTTTTATATATATATATATATATATAGTTTATTTAAAGTTAGGGTTAGGCTTATTTTTTTATTTAAATATTCTTATATTTGTATAAATAATTGTTTTTGTAAACAAATCAATAAAAAATATGAAATATAATATATATTTGTTAAATAAAAATAACAAAAATAGTATAAAAAAAGTATTTTTATAGGAAAATATTAAATAAAATGTATTATATATGTGTATATATATATATGTAAATGTATATATATGTGTATATATACACACACACACACACATATATATATATATATATATATATATATATATATATATATATATATATATATATATATATATATATATATATATATATATATATATATATATTACAATATATATATATATATATATATATATATATATATTACAATATATATATATATATATATGCACACACACATATATATATGTGTATATATATACACACACATATATATATATATATATATATATATATATATATATATATATATATATATATATATATATATATATATATATATATATATATATATATATATATATATATATTATAATCTTATGAAGCTAAAGAAAAACTGTTTGTTGATGATTTGAAAAATTATACACCAAGATACTCAAAACAAAATAGAAACTGATTGACTTCATGATCATGAGCAGAAAAAAGAAGATATTGAGTTTCTTATGGCAGTTAGAGATGAGCGAGTTATTTTGGTATCTGAAGACCAAGCATACAAAAAGACAATTACACAGAAAATACAGAGAGAGAATCGAAATGATGAGAAGAATGGTTGAAGAAAAAAGAAAACAAAATCTTTCAGCAATAACAAGCACAAAACCTGAAACTATATGTACTGAAGTAGACTTCAGTACATATAGTTTCATGCTGAACGGCTAGGTGTTCTTATAGCTGGGATTCCAACCTGTAAGAAGGTAAACTACTTGGGGTTCCAGTAATCTCTGATAGAACTGGTGCAACTATGGCTAACACCAGCCATTCTCTTTTAGTTCAGTGAAAGGTAGTCAATTGTTGGACTAGTTTTTGATACCATAGCATCAAGTTGTGAGTGGAACAATGGTGCATGCATACAGTTAGAATCTTTGCTAGACAAAAAGCTTTTCTATCTTGCTTGTTGACATCATGTAATGGAAAGAATTTTATGTTCTGCCTTGCAAAATATTTCTGGTCCAACATCCAGTCCTGACACTCCTGAGTTCAAAGAATTTAAGGAATCTTGAAAAACCTTTGAAGATCGATCAAAATTTAAAATTTTACGTATCACTGATTGTTGTCTTAAACAGCAGAAAGACAAAGTTGTTAATTTTTTACAACAAAAATTGACTTCAGCTGAAGGTGACAGCTTGCCTCGTGATGATTACAGAGAATGTGCAGAATTTTTGCTAATACTTTTGGAAAAAATGTCTCTTTGTAGGGTGCTCTGGCTAAACCCTAGTGCAAGCCATCATACCCGCTGGATGGTAACTGTTATATATAGTGCTAAGATGTATGCGTTTGGTAACCAGCGGAATTATAATCAAGATAAAATGGAGAAACTGCATTGCATTTGCATACTTAATGCACTCTTCTACGTAAAGGCTTGGCTAGCCACTCCTTTTGCAGCCGATGCACAATCAAATGATCTCCAGTTATACCATGATCTTCACCTGTTAAAGAAAACTGACCCAGAGGTTTGTGAAGTGACCATAATTGTACTGAACAGGTATCTGACCAAAGAAACTGCTACTTTTCTCTTTTTTCAAGTTTGGTGTCAGAATTGGAAAAGAAACAAATAGCCAGACAACTTATCAAAGTAAAGAAAGACATGCCACTGGATAAAGGAGTACCAGTTTTTCCACAGTTAGTTTCATCCACAAAATTAGTATATTTGATTGGCAAGAAATCTTGCCTCCTGTTCAACCTACTCGGAATTGAAACTGCCTGCTTACACTTGCTATCAGCACAGTGGGAAACAAGTAGTGATTTTCAAGAAACAGCTATGTTTATTCGTCATGCAAAAGTTATTATTGATCTTGCTCAAACAGCCATAAAACTCATCATAGACTTTGCAAACATTTTAACTAAGATGAAATACAGAAACAGTATTTGTTACAGTTTTTTGAAAAACAAAAACACAAAGTACCAGATTTTAAAAAAGGAACCCTGGGAAACATTTAAAAACTGTTTTTTTCTAAGAGACATCAGTACTAATTTAGCATATTTAAATCTTATAAAATAACCTTTTTTCATTATGTTTATTGTTTAAACAAACATATTAACAGTTTTTCTAAATTTTGATAAAAAAAATTTGTTATATTTTATAATTTGTTATATTGATAAAAAAAATTTGTTATATATATATATATATATATATATAATATATATATATATATATATATATATATATATATATATATATATATATATATATATATATATATATATATATATATATATATATATATATATATATATATATATATAAATATATGTATATATAGATTTTACAAAAACAAACACTTACGGGGACATTAGCATTATTGGGGACATTTTAGTGTACCTGTTAATTTTTTGTTCCCGTAAGCATGATTTTTTATATATATATATATATATACATATATATATATATATATATATATATATATATATATATATATATATACATATATAAATATATATATGTATATAAATATAAAAATAATATTTATATGTCTAAGCATGGTGTATTTATACATATGTACATGTATATATGTATATATATATATATATATATATATATATATATATATATATATATATATATATATATATATATATATATATATATATTTATATATATATATATATATATTTATATATATATATATATATATATATATATATATATATATATATATATATATATATATATATATATATATATATATATTTATATAGGGCTTGAAATAGGAGTTGGACATCAAGTAAAAAACGACATCTATCGGTCATTTTGTCCAACCCATATTTTATGTGCATTTATTTTCTAATCATTTTAGTTGTTTTAAAATTGATAATAAATTAAGTATTGTATACAAAAATTTGCTGTTAGCAATATTTATAAAATTAATTCAAGAAAAAGTTTGAAAAGATTCATATAAAAATACATATTTATATAAATGTAATTACATATAATAATCTTTGATAATCTAAATAAAATAAGTTTACTGTGAACATTATAATTAATTTGTTACTTTATTTAGTAAAGTAAAAGTAAATTTAATACTTTATGTATTTAATATATTTACATAGTAATTTTATGTATCTAATAATTTTATCTTTTTATTATATATTTAATAACGTATTTAATAATTACATAATATATGTATTTAATATATTTACATAATAATTTATCTATTTATTAATTTACAAAGCATTTCGCATATAGCATTTTTTAAAAAACCTAATACAAGTATATTTTCCTTTTCAAATTTTAGTTTTTTGAGCTTAGATTTTTTTTTCTTTATACCTGACCACGCATAAATATTTTATGCGTGGTCAGGAATAGCGTAAGATTGCACAATCATTAGGGTGTTTTTTTAAAAAAACACCCTAATGATGTATAATCATTAGAATGTTTTTTTTTCAACTTATTTTTCAAAAAACTAGGCACAACCTCCAAATGTGTGCAAAATAATAAACTAGGTTTAAAATTTTTTGGAATAAAAAATATTTTAAGGGGTCTCTCAATACCCTTGAATTTTTAATGGGTCCCTAATATTAAAAAAAAAGTATTTTAAAAGTAGTTCAACCTGAAACTCAAATGAAGCAAAGTTATTTAAAAAATTCAAAAACAATGTTATTTTGAAAAAAAACAATTATTTTAGGCTTTATTGCATAAAAAAATAACATTTTTTAACAAAAAATGAAAAAAGCGCATTTTTTAAAGTTTTTATGATAATTTTTATAAATAAGTTGAAAAAATCATTTTTGTCTAAAAAAATAAAATAACTATTATTTCAGAAATTTTTATATAGTTTCGCTTCATTTGAGTACCAGGCTGACCTATTTTTGAAAAACTTTTTTTTTTAATATTATACTTTTTTTTAATACTTTTTATATATATATATATATATATATATATATATATATATATATATATATATATATATATATATATATATATATATATATATATATATATATATATGTATATATTTATATATATATAAAAGGTAAATTTCTTTACCTTTTAATTTACATTTTATTGCACTATGCACAGAATCACATTCCATTTGGGTATGGCTTTTTTCTAGGTATATTTGAATAATCACAATTTTTTTTTTAATCGCTAACTGTATTTAAGCATTGCTAACAATAACATTGTGTTTTCGAGCACATTGGAATATAAAATCACAGGCAATAATTTCAAAACTTCAAAATTTTTTCTAGAGTCAAAACTTTTTCTTGATGCATGAAGCATGAATAAAGCATTAAACATGAATTAAGCATGAAGCAAAAATAGAGGCTTCAAGCTTGCTATTTGACTCCTCAAACCAATAACACATTACTTCCTTAGTTGCTAAATTGTATAATGTAAAATTATGGATGCATAATTTAGTTTTATAATAAATTGCACCAGCTTGAAGATATGCCAATTTTACTGATTCAACATCTTGTGTAAATATGTGACAAGGTCCTTATAATCACTATTAAATAAACTATAAAAATGCACTTATAAATAAATAATATCTTGGTCAGTATCTTCCTATTTTTAAAAAAAAATGTTGAGCAAATTCTTCATACTTAATGTTTCCACTTTTATGACTGCAACAAGCGTCACATTGATCTTTCAGGTGAAATAGGCTCATATTGAGTTTCAAAAATAATTAGTCAAATAATTTACAACCAAAGAATTTTCTACCCTTAAACTCACAATTCTCTCTATATGTGTGGTAGAGCTGTGTCATGTTCAAAAAAAAAGGTTCTAAAT